TATATATATATATATATATTAACAACACTTTATGGGGGTGTTTGGTACATGGAATGCTTTTACATTCTTAAGAATCTTAAAAGTGAAAATCTTAGTTTCTCATATTTGGTAGTTATTTTTAAAAAAATGAGATTCCTAGGAATATAGCTTCCCAGAATCTTTTTTATCCCACTTTCCCACAAAAATATTTACAAGGGATAAGAATTCAATTTTTTCGAATTAAGTGAAAAATTTTATGTATATAAAACAACATAGTATCCCTTTTTTAGAAAAAAAAATATCCCTCTCCTTCTACTTTTCTTTCTCCCTCTCTTTCTCTCTCTCACTCTCACTCCCCCTCTCCTTTCCTCTCTCCCTCTCCCTCCTCCTCCCCCTCCCCCTCTCTTTGTGTTTTTATCTCTCTCTTGCTATTTCTCTTTCTCCTTCTTTGTCTCTCTCACTCGCACTTCCGCTTTCTCTCTCTCCCATATCTCTATTTCTGTATTGGATTATTTCTTGATCTTATCAATTTTAATAATATTATTAAAATCTATTTTGTTTCTAATGATATTTGTTAACACTTTTTTTATTTGAATGAAATAAAATAATATATTTTTATTCTATATATATTTTTTTTATGAATTCTATATTTAAATAATTTTAATAATTTTTTAACCTTTTAAAATAATTTATAATAAAATTTAAATAAATAAATATATATAATGAATTTATTTTAATAAAATATATTTTTATATAAAATATTTATAAATCCAAAAAAACACTATTGTAATTAAATATGAAAATATTTAACTCTTAACAATCATATATGTAGGGGTGAGAATAAAACCGAGACTCAAACCAAACTCGATAAAAAACTCGAAAAACTCGATAAAAAAATATTACTTTTGGGTGGGTTCGGGCGGGTTTTATGGATAAATTGGGTTAAAATTTTGATTTTATATAGGTATTGGACAGGTTCGGTTTTGAATTTTTAAACTCGCTAAAAACCGAACCCTACTGAAAATGAGATAAGTTTAGATTTTAATTACTTTTATATAACTAAACAACAATGATCCAAACTCAAAAGTCTTTATTTCAAGTATAATATAGCCATCAATTTGTAACTTATTTTTTTCCTTTTTCTCATAACCTAGATGTTTCTTTTGTCTTCTCCTTCCTCATTCAACTTCTCAACACACTAGTCCATTTTTAGAGTTTTCTTTTTGTTTCTTTCTTTGTCTTTATTTTCAATCTTCCTATCTCCATTTTGAGTACAATTTGTGCGACTGTGATTTCTTATGGATTTTGTAATCTAACTTTAGATTTTTTTTGCATGTAACAACTATGGATTTTGTTATCTTTTGTTTTTGCTTCTTTAGTTTGTGAATGTTTCATCTATGAATCTACTTACACCATCTATTGTCACCTTCATTCTATTTTTGTACACTATTTATAAATATTTTTTTTACCGTTTTAAGCTACAACTTCGTTAAGATAACTTGGTTTACCAAAAATCTTAAACCCAATTGTACCCACCCGCTCAAATCCGAATCTATTTCAACCCGAACCGCCTCATTTTTTCAAAGTCAGTTTACAACGGGTTGAATATTTTTCACCCAAGCCTGACCGAACCCACCCATTGCCCACCCCTGCATATATGAATATTTTTTAGAAATTTTTATGAATAATCAATCAATTTTAATTATTTCGAGAATCATGATTTAGAGAATTTGTAAGTTGGGGTGAAATAACTTACAAATTTTAATCAATCCTATGAAATATATAACTAAAATAATATATATATATATATATAATATATCTAAATGCTTATTCTTTAAATAATAATAATAATTATATATAATAATTATTATTATTATACTAATATTATATATATTGCATATATAATTAGGTAAATATTTTTTTGGTGGATTGTGGATTTCCTAATCGATGCCAATTTTTAGCTCCATTTCGAGGTGTAAGATATTATTTACAAGATTTTGCAGGTCAGGGTAATGACCCTGAAAATGAGAAAAAATTGTTCAATCTTCGTCATCCATCTTTAAGGAACATGATCGAGAAAATATTTGATATTTTTAAATCAAGGTTCACAATTTTTAAGTCAGCACTTCTATTTTTATTTAAGACACAAGTAGAACTTGTGTTAGTATGTGCAACACTACATAACTTTCTACGTAAGGAATGTCGTTATGATGAATTTCTAATTGAAGCGGTGGATGAACCCTCATCTTCAATGTTAGCAGTTAATGAAGATCATACTTTTGAACCTATTATTCAAACCCAGGACCAAGAGCGAAAAGATGCTAATGCTTGGATGACTAGTATAGCTATGTATATGTGGATGAATGCTATTTAAGAGGATAAGATATTATGAAGAATTATTATTATTGTTATTTATCTAGATATTATTATTTATTATTATTTTTTTCTTTGACTCTTTTTAAATTTGAATGTATGAAATTTTCTTTGAAATCTTATCAAATATCAAAAATCCACGAAAATTCTACAAAATCCTACAGAATCCATTAAAATCTTGATTTAAAAGTCTTGCAAAATTTATTAAAATCCTGATTTTAAATCTTGTAGAATCCTACAAAATCTTAAAAATTATGAAAATCCTGTAAAGTCTTTTAAAAGTCGCAAATTTTTTTTTAACTAAAAAAATCTTTTAAAATCCTAATCCAATACACCGTCAGTCTACCAAATAACAGAGTCTACCAAATAACACTTTGCTGTGTTAGAAATTGAGAATTTTGAGTCATGTAAAAAGTCGAGCGTAAATTATTCTAATTTTTAATGCATATATTATTTATTTTTTTTACTTGCTCAGTTCGCTTGGCAAAAGCTAAAGACAGAAGCTGCATCTGCAATGATAACTGTGCATTTCTGTCTCTGAATCTCTTCCTCCCCGGTCGCGGAGCCTCCGAAAACATTGCAATGGTAATTTCTAGGTTTCGTATTCTTCATTTTCTTTAACGAAGCTTTTGTATACACTCCATTTATTTGAACTTCTCTTTTCAGTGTTTATGTGGCAAGCAACTGGCAACCGTTTTTGCGTTTCAAGGCACCTTCCTCAATTCAAGAATGAGGTGCGTCGCATTATTATTCTTCGCATTTTAACCTTTTAGCCTTATGTGACCAATGTTGAGGACACGTGGCGTTTCTGTTTCGACGCTTGTTGCAGGTATGGTAGTTTTCTACCTTCGAAAATGTATTACCGGCTAAAGCATAAGTTCGCAGAGAAGAAGTTTGTGCGAGGTGTGGGAAGCGGTTCCAAGTTACGGAATAAGGTAGGGAAATAGACCCATATGTTGTGTTTCGTGAAAGTTTGAGTTCCAGTTATTGAATTTTGTGTTCTGTTATTTTTCGAGTTTTCAGTAGTTAAATTTTGGGTAGGATGTGTTTGTTTTAGGTTCTTCAATCTTCGATCAAAATTGGTCTTTGTTTCCATACATCAAAAACAAAATAATGTTTTTGTTTGTTGTAATTTTTATAATTAGTGATTCCCTCTTTATGGAATTTAGACTGCTAGGGTGAGGGACAAAATTCATCCATTATAAGAAATACGAGGACTAAAATCATTATTTTTAAAGTATAGAAACTAAAACAAATTTTGACCAAAAGGGCTAAAACGCATTTTACCCTTTGTTATTATTTTTTTTGCCTTCCTGTAATTGGTTGTTTACAAGTTCCGCAAGTTCAATTTGATGTTATCTGATTGATTGACATTGAGGTGTCTCTGGGAGTTCAGATGCTTATTTTTTTCATCTTCCTCATTCTTTTATGAATCTAATATAATGATTGATGGACTGTTTTTTGACATTGTTTTTATAGCTTACAGCTTTGAATGTTAGACCAGTTGGCCGGATAAAAGATGTTGATGATTTGTTTATAAATGCTTATGGCTGTGCATATGAATGTAACATTAACGGGAATTCATTATACTTACAGGTAGTTGCTCTTATGGATTATAACCTTAATGACCTAATTGGGAATGGAAGTGATGAAATGAAATCTGAAATGAGTCTGAAAGATGCATTAGATGATTTGGACATCTCCTTGATGTGTAAGAGATTTCCATCAATTACTTTGGGTAGTGCTCCTCGAGTGGAGTTATATGATGGGACTGCGTCATGTTCTGAAACAATGAACTCTTTAGCAACAGAAAATTTGGAACATTGTTTTTCTGATTCTTTGGAGGCAAGGTGGGTGCAAAATACTGTCTCAGAAGAATGGCCTTCTCTGTCTGTCAATCATTCTACTATAACATCTTCCACATTAGGAAAAGCAGAGTCTTGTCCTTCTCGTGTGCTCCCTTCAGTATATGAAGAAAAATTGGATCAAGTCATCAGGGAAGATTCTCAAATGAAAGTGGGGTTGCAGTCACAATCAGACCCTACACCCAGTGAGTTATTTCTTGACAAATCTGTGAGTTGCATACTTGGATTAAGTAAAAGGCACTACCAACAGCTGGATAACTGTGGGTTTCACACGGTGGGTTACCGAAACTCTGGATTTTGGGAAATGTGTAGTTTTTTGGATTTCCAGTTTTGATAGGATAGCTTGGATTCACATTAATCCCACTCTTTATGTGTAGTTACGGAAATTGTTGCTGCACTTTCCACGATCATATGCTAATCTGCAGAATGCACATGCTAAAATTGATGATGGGCAATATTTGATTTTTGTTGGAAAAGTCTTATCTTCAAGGTGATGTTATCCTCTATTTCATTCATCAACCAGGTTTATGCTTATTTGTATCCTTTTCTCTTGGTATAAGTTCTCTTGGTGCTTGCTTCGTTTCTTGAACAAGGATGTGGATAATATACTTTTAGCTACTGGATTTTTCCATCTCTCAGCCTTTGGCATACAATAAACTGATGTCACTGCTACATTATATGGTTTGTTCTGTATTACATATAATGGTATTTTATAAAGCCATGATGCATAATGAGGCAAAATTAGATGCATATTTTTAATGTCTTTGCAGATGCTTATGATGTGCTTGGTTGAGTAGGTGGAAAATGGAGGATGTGTTTAAAATGATTTTTGACCTAGATATTAATTACTTTTCCACATGTTTTATCTTCCCGCTTTCCACATGTTCAAACAACATTCTTAGTTAGCATATATGCACCTATCATCACATGACCAAAATTTTCTGCTTTAACAAGTGTAAGTAGGACAATTAATGAATCATTAAAGTCCTGCATGCAATTAAAATTCTAATAAAATATATGGTCATATGTCTATTTAAAATGCTTACTTATCACATAAATAGCAGCGTAAGGGTGGAAAAACCATTAACATACCCATTTCACTCCATTCCTGTTCTACTTAATTGGCTTATGTGTCTTCATATAGTGAATTAGTTAAACTGATTTCTTAATCATACTTTGCAACTTTGAAATGCTCAAACCTTTAAACCATTATTTTTTGTTGGAGTTCCCATCGATTAGGAATAAGATCATAATAATGTGTATAAATGAGGAGCAATTCTCACCTTACAAGCTAGTTTTCTAAGGTTGAATTAGGATTTTAACCCACTTTTTTAAGATGGTATTAGAGCCTCTCCTGGTGATTGTTAGTAAGCTTATAAGATCACCCGCTATTGGGCCATTATGGGACCATCCGCAAATGTTCAGTCTTACAAACTTCACGCTTTAGATATTCAATCCTCATTTTGAGGGGGTTGTGTTGGAGATCCTACATCGTCAAGGAATAAGACCATAATAGTGTATATAAGTGGAGAACAATCCTCACCTTACAAGCCGATTTTGTAAGGTTAGGCTTATAATCCACTTTCTAAGATTTTCATTGCTTTTGTTAGAGATAAAACCTTTTAGGTATTATTACCTAACAACTTAAGGATTTGAAATAGTTTCATGACATGGTATTAGAGTTAGCCTTCTTGATCAATTGGGTTAGTGTACTGCCTATGCTTCAACCATAAAGGCTTGTGTGAAGGGTGTTAAAGATGGAATAAAACCATTCATGTGCCTTCACCTAGCAATTTAAGCTTGTGTTAGCAGTGTGCTAGGGCTCATGATATCACCGAGTCTTAGATTTGTTCACATGCATGTTACTGTTTGTAGAATTACATTATGTTAATATCTTTAGAAACTAGTGGTGATTTAAAATTTTGTAAGTTGATCAATTTTAGTGTTTCCTTTACAGGGGAGTCAAAGCTAATTATTCATTTTCATTTCTTGAAGTGGTTGTGGGCTGTCAGATTGCTCAAAGTGAATCTACTTCTGAGTGTGTGACCAGTGATGCTATTGACGTGCAAGAGAAGACAATTTATTTGCATCTGAAGAAATTTTTTCGTGGCTCACGTTTTACCTTTAAACCATTCCTTAAAAGCCTTGAAGAAAAGTATCAAGAGGGAGACATAGTATGTGTTAGTGGCAAGGTAAGTTTGTTCTACTCTTCCTTGTCCCCAACCCAGTTTTCTTATTGTATTGCAAGTTTTCAATATGTGGATTGACATTCATTGCTACAAAAATTCAATGACTTTGAGGGTGACAACACTTGTATCCCTTTTTATTGGAGGGGTAACCAATTAAGACACATTTGACAACTCTTGGGTGCAATTTACCACGATGAGGACAATGAGAATGAAGAAATGCAACATAAAAAACAATGACATGAGAAGCTTAATAGTAGGGGAGAAGAAGACAAGAGCGACATTATGTCTTCAATCGGACAAATACCTTGTAAGACATGAGTGGGTAACATGTTAATGAGATAGAGGACAATTAGAACAACCTCTCCCTAGTAGACTTTAGGAATGGTAATTTGCAAGAGTAGAGTTCTAACGACCTCAACTAGGTGATGATTCTTTCTCTTTGCAATCCTATTTTATTGGGGATATTATCAATTTACCATGTCATTTGGGGATCCCTATTGGGAATACCCCATTTGTGGCCAATTTTGAGGATTTTTACCTTATGGGATGAAGACAAAAATCCTCTAAAGTAAATTTGGGGAAGGGTCAAGGATCATACTCCTCGACAGGTAGGATCCCCAAATATTTAAAAATAACATAATCATCCTATCAATGACAATTGAATGTACTTCTATTTAAATTTAAATTTGGGTAGTTAAAATCAAATCAGATTTAATCTAATTTGATTTTATACTCCTTTATTCAAATTATTCAAATCTGATTTGATTTTTCTTTATTTTCTCCCTTTCCGATCTTTATATTTATTTTGTATCAAGGTGATTAGGATTTCTTATAGTCATCTATCTATGTCTATATAATCCTCTTATGTAATTCTAATCAATTTACTAAAAGATATTTTTCTTCTCTAACACACATATATTTAGTCTTTTCCTTAATATAGTTTAATATTATAAAATTTAAATTATTAAACAATACTAATTTATTAAATACTTTTAATTTTTTATCATTTATTTATTTATTTTTTTCATTCTTGTTATTAACATTAACAGTAATGTTGGTGATCTTGTAGGGAATCCTTTGCAGTGCACCGGTGACATCACTAGGTCACGCTTTTAAATGTCTTGTTGAATTTCATAAGGTTTAAGTAACAAAGAGGAAGGAAGAGATAGTTTCTCGACTTAGAATAATAGGATTTTAAATTGATATGGTGTATTATGATTTGTTATGAAAGACAAAACACCAAGTCCTATTTATACCAGGCATTGGATTAAGTGCTAGACTCCTAACCCTAATCAATTACAGGAACAAATAACTCATTGAAGATAAGATGAAATCGTTTAGAATACGACATGGTTCTAACAAGATATAATTCCTAAAAATAAGGAAACGTAATCATCACTAAAGTAACATTAATTATATTAGTCTATTATGCATCCCTCTAAGATATTCAATATATATTCTAACATGTTTTATATTTTAAATTTGTATTATACTTATATGATTGAGTATACTTTGCTTTTGTCTTACTTATTTTCATACTTGCCCAAAGATAGAACATTTTCCCTTCTGATAAATGTGAATATTATGTTTTAATTTGATTTTGGAATTATGTAAGACTGCAAATGATTGTTGCATTTAAAATAGGTCAGAACTATGCGTGCTAAAGATCACTATGAGATGAGAGAATATAATATTGACGTGCTTGAAGATGGAAAAGATTTATCCTTTTTTGCTAAAGAGAGGCCATATCCTATCTACCCTTCAAAAGGGCGTTTGAACCCAACTTTTCTTAGGGACACTATTGCAAGGTTTGTGCTTCCAAATTCTTGTAAGTCAGAATCTTATTCATCAATTAATTAATTTATTTATGTTTTATATAGAATGTTTCTTGTTTAGGAGTGAACATGATAAGAGTAACCTCTTAATTAACTGCTTGGTTTTTTAATTGTTCTGTAATAGAAGTGCGGAAAAATATAATGTATATTTCTCTGATTTGGGAAAAATACAATAGTGGTATAAATAGAATACAAGGGAATAAATCTGCACACTAATCTATCCCTGAAAATCTGGGAAATAGTTCTCCCTATAAATGCTATATCTAAATAATTAAAGGAGGGGAAATAAAATTGATCTTATTAACATTAAATCCTATTATGGGTTGTACAAATCAGAATTGAATATTCTGATTGATATATGCTGTTTTTCAATAGATTCTGATTGATATGCGCTGATCTCCAACACTCCCCCTCAATTTGGGTGGTAGATGTCTATCATACCCAGATTGGATCTAATGTTTTCATACGTGTTCCTTGGAAGAGCCTTTGTTAGGATGTCTACTATTTGTCTGCATGATGGAACATGGTCAACACTTATAATACCGTGGTCAATTTTTTCTTTAATGAAGTGTTGGTCAATCTAAATGTGATTTGTAATATAATGGTGGAATGGGTTTTTTGCCATGCTTATGGCAAATTTGTTGCACAATAATATAATAATAGTGTAATTGATGGGAATTCTGATTTCATCCAGCATCCTCTTAAGCCAAATTCCTTCACAGATACCTAGAGCCATAGCTCTGAATTCAACTTCTGCACTACTCCTTGCCACCACAGGTTGCTTCTTACTTCTCCAAGTCACCAGGTTTCCCCACACAAAGAAGCAATAGCCTGTAGTTGATTTTCTGTCAGAGGGGCATCCCGCCCAATCTGAGTTAGTGTAGACTTCAATGCTTCTGTTTGAGTTCTTTTTGAAGTAGAGCCCTCGACCTGGTGTACCTTTGAGATATTGGAGGATTCTGTTTGCCGTTTTCATGTGGGCCTTAGTTGGATTAGATGTATAGCGACTAGCTAAGCTCACAGCAAAACCAATGTTGGGCCTAGTGTGAGTTAGGTAGATTAGCTTCCCAACTAGGCTTTGATATCTATCTTTATCAGTTAGTGGACTTTCTTCTTCACTTCTCTTTTCCGGTTCAATGGGAGTATTGGCTGCCTTGCATCCAAGCATGCTGGTTTCTTGAAGTAAGTCCAATGAATATTTCCTTTGTGATACATAAATACCATTCTTTGTTCGAGCAATTTCCATCCCTAGAAAATATTTGAGCTGACCCAAGTCCTTGACTTCAAATTCCTTGGCCAAAATTTCCTTCAGATGCTTGATTTCATCATAATCGTTTCCTGTGATAATGATATCATCAACATAAACAATGAACAAGGCTACCTTCCCTTCCACCGCGTGTTTGACAAACATAGTGTGATCTGATTGGAATTGGTTGAACCGGACTTCCTTGACAACTCGAGTCAATCTATCAAACCACGCTCTCGGAGATTGTTTAAGGCCATATAGAGATTTTCAGAGCTTGCTCACCATGCTTGAGGTTCTGGATGACTCCAGTGCCGGGGGAATTTGCATATAGCCTTCTTCTAGTTCACCGTTTAGGAAGGCATTCTTGATGTCTAGTTGATAGAGTGGCCAATCTAAATTTGCAGCTAAAGAGAGTATGACTCGAATTGAACTGAGTTTGGCCACCAGCGCAAAAGTCTCTTCGTAGTCCACTCCATATGATTGGGTAAACCCTTTTGCCACCAGTCGAGCTTTGTACGGGTTTATACTACCATCAACATCGTATTTGATGGAGAATATCCACTTGCATCCAATCGATTTCTTTCCTTTCGGTAGAGTGGTGATTTCCCACGTGCCATTTTTAACCAAGGCCTGGACTTTTTTTGTTATAGCTGCTGCCCATTCAGGTTGTTGGAGTTCTTCTTGAACATTCCTTGGGATATTTGTGCTGTCAAGAGCTGCCACAAAAGACTTATACCCCTGTGACAATTTTCTATAGGACATATTTCTCAATGGGGTGTTGAGTGCAAGATCTCACCCCTTTTAAGGCAATAAGAATGTCAATGCCATCAATAGGTTTTGGATTAGGAACGATATTACCTTGGGAAAACTCATTTTCTGGAGCCTAGTTGGATTCATGGCTTTGCCTTGGATCTGTGATGGACTCTACTCCCTTCCTTCTCTTCTTGAAGTACGTCGTCCAGTTGTCTCCTTGTGTGGCCGGGCTTTGATTCTGTTGAGATGCAATCCTCTCTCTAGCTTCAGTTGGTGCAGTTTCTACTGCATTTTCCTGTTCAGTTTCTGCTACAGGTGCAGTCTCGGCTGGTTCTGCATTTGGAGTAGATTCGGTTAGCTCAATTCCCAAAAGTTGGGATTCTACCACTTCAATTGGATAAGTCTACTCCCCCTGAATGCCAACTTTGGGGTAATAAGGCTGATTCTCAAAAAAGGTGACATCCATGGTGTGGTAAAATTTCCTGTTTTGGGGTGAATAGCATTTATACCCCTTTTGGTGGGGGGAGTAGCTGAGGAAGATGCATTTTGATGGATTTCGGGTCAAGTTTGTTGCGACGAGGATTGAGGTTGTGGATGAAGGCTGAACATCCGAATATTTTCATGGGAATGGATGTAAGGATATGACTAGTAGGGTATGAGGTTTGGAGAGTAGAATAAGGGGTGTTAAAGTTGAGGATTCGGGAGGGCATTCTGTTTATAAGGTAGGTTGCAAAGAGGACAGCTTCTCCCCAAAATTGGTTGGGTACATTTGTAGCTAACATGAGAGATCTGGTCACTTCTAGGAGATGTCTATTCTTTCTTTCGGTGACTCCGTTCTGCTGAGGTGTATCTACACATGAACTCTGATGTATGATTCCATGTTTCTGAAGGTAGGAATTTAGTGCAGAGTGATAATACTCTCGGCCGTTGTCACTTCTAAGCACCTTAATTTTGCTTTGAAATTGTGTTTCCACCATAGTATGAAACAACTCAAATATTCTGCCAACTTCTGATTTCTCCTTCATTAGGAAAACCCAAGTGACCCGTGTGTGATCGTCAATGAAGGTGACAAACCATCTTGATCCAGTGACATTGTTTACCCGTGATGGTCCCCATATATCACTGTGAATTAGGGAGAAAGGTTGAGAGGGTTTATAGGGTTGAGGCGGGTAGGAGTTACGGGTATGTTTGGACGATTGGCATATTTCACATTGAAACAACTCTTGATTTTTATTGAATAATGTGGGAAACATTTTTTTCAAGTGCATAAAATTTGGGTGGCCTAACCGATAATGCCACAACATTACAAAATTTTTCCTATTTGGAGGTACAATTGCACAAGAGTTGGCCTTGGGTTCCGCTTTTGACTCTCCAACTTGGAGGAGGTAGAGTCCAGCACATTCTTCAGCATTGCCAATCGTCTTCCCCGACACCAAAATCTGAAATTCACATAGGTTAGGAAAGAATTTAGTGACACACTTCAAATCTCTTGTCAGTTTGCTAATGGACAGCAAATTATAGTCAAGTTTAGGCACATAAAGGACTGAATTCAGGGTAATATTTTGTGAGATAATAACTGAACCTTTACCCATGACCTTAGAAAGAGTCCCATCAGCTATTCGAACTGTGTAATTATTTAGGCATGGAGAATAGCTTTAAAACATAGTTAAGTCTCCAGTCATGTGATCTTAGGCTCCTGAGTCAATGATCCATGACTTTGGTTTTCCTTTGCTAGTATTTAAAGCATGCAAGAAATTACCTTTTTGTGCCACCATAGCTGTACCAATTGTTTGCTGGAGAATTTTCTGTAGTGCTTCCATTTGCTCCTTGCTGAATGGAGATGGGTTAGAATTTACCTCAGCTGTGTTGCCTCTGCTGTCCAGGTTTTTGGTCTGTTTTGCCTCTGAAGGTCTGCCATGAATGATCCAACAATTGTCGTTAGTGTGACCTAGTTTCTTGCAATGATCAAACCAGGGCTGATTTTTCTTTTGAGATGTACGAGGCTGGTTCCCCCTTGCTGCCATTGCTGAGCCTTCAATGGATGGGACTGCACTTGACTTTCCAAGCATCACTTTCCTCCTGCTCTCCTCTCTTCTTACTTCCGAAAATACTTCTCGGATTGTTTTAAGAGGTTTGGTTCCAAGGATTCTCCCCCAGACTTCATCAAGTTCTGTGTTCAGCCCCAATAGAAACTTGTAGATCCAATATTTCTACACCAATTCTTTATACTTCTTTTTATCCTCGGTACAACTCCATTGAACATCTTCATATATGTCTAGTTGCTGCCAATATCAGTCTGTATTAAAATACTCGGTGACTGAGAAATCACCTTGTCGCAGGTCATGGAGTATGCTCTTGATCTCAAATACTGCAGACTTATTGTCCACATTTGAGTAGGTTTCCTTCACTGCATCCCACATCTCCTTGGGAGTATCATAGTACATGAAATTTTCCCCAATTTCATTAGTCATGGTGTTGAGCAACCATGACATGACTAAACTGTTTTCCAGTTGCCATTTGTTGAGATTAGGGTCACCCTTTTTTGGACTCTTGGAGTCTCTTGTGATGTAACCTTCCTTCCCTTTTCCTTGAAGAAAGATCTTAACTGATCGCACCCATTGAGGGTAGTTCTGGCCATTCAATTTGTGGCTAGTGATAGGAAGAGCAGGCCCTTCAACCAAACTGGTGGCCGAACCTTCTGCCTAGTTCTCTCCCATGGTTGGCGGTGCTAGGTTAGGGATGGTTCAGATCGAGCTCTGATACCATGCGAAAAAATATAATGTATATTTCTCTGATTTGGGAAAAATACAAAAGTGGTATAAATAGAATACAAGGGAATAAATCTGCACACTAATCTATCCTTGAAAATCTGGGAAATAATTCTCCCTATAAATGCTGTATCTAAATAATTAAAGGAGGGGAAATAAAATTGATCTTATTAACATTAAATCCTATTATAGGCTGTACAAATCAGAATTGAATATTCTGATTGATATATGCTGATCTTCAACAGATTCTGATTGGTATGTGCTGATCTCCAACAAGAAGTATTTCTATCAAGATGTATATATCTATTTTTGATTTTTCAATATATAGTTTGAATATGCTATATTTTCCACCGAGTTATAATCAAATAATTTCCCTCTGCTGTTAAAGATTATGTTATACTTTAAGTAGTAGTTATTGATTCTTCATATCTTAAGGGAAATATGGGATTCAGTCTCACGACGTATGGAGGCTTTTGTTCAACTACTGCATATTATTGCACCACTTGATTGGGCCAAGGAGAGTAGTTAGTTTGAAATGTTATATTAGGGGGGTTTAAATAATATTATATGAGAGGGTAAAGAGGGGGCTTTCAGATTAGGTAGCATTTATCGAACAATAGCTTTTTTGTAGAAAAGGGAGGGGAAACCTTTGGATGGGGAGTTCTGTCATTAGTTCTCTGATTGTAATTTAGTAGTTCTCTTTGAAAACCCAAATTGTTTATATATGTTTCTTGCAATTTTGCTTTAAGTAACCATGCTGAACTCTTCATTGGCTGAGATGGAGTCAAGCTTTGAGGCATTGGAAAACTCAGTAGAACTCTTGCGGAAACCGACCAATGAACATGGTATTCATGTTTATTTTGTTGGATTGCAGATTCTTTGAGATCAAGAATACTATGGATTGAGAAGATTTAGCATGGTTTATGGATGAGCCCTCAATAAAACAGTCTCGTTGGGAAATAATAAAGACAATGATGAGATGCACTCACACAAGATTGTGATATCACTTATTAAAAAGCAAACAAGGGTGAATTTTTGGGTTTTAGGTTACAATTAAAGCACAAGTGCAGTGGATAAGATTTATAATAAAAGGCTTAAATTTGTTTCTAGTTCTTGTAAATATGGCTAAATTTTGCTCTAATTCTTCAAAATTTCTTTTGTTGGTTTTTCTTATTATCATAATTTTAAATATTTTTGGAAATGGTCCCTATCACCACCTAATGATGACATAACAGGCATTTAGCCATGTCATGTCAATGACAATTTTGAGGTGGTTGGGGACATGGAGGGGTTGACCATAATGGGTGAATAAATGAAGAAGTCTTGGCAGTCCTTTGTGCAGTTAGCTTGCCCGTGATCGAGGCTAGATGTCTCTTTGTTTGGAGTTAGATTCTTTGCTTGTCATCAAGGCATCCCATGGTCCCTCTTTAGTGCCTTGGCGCCTTTGTGTACAATGACTGAATATGCTTGAGTTATTAAACATACGAGTTTTAGATTCTCTCATGTTTATAGGGAGGGTAATGGTTGTGCTGATAGCTTAGCTGGGTTTGGTCTTAGGCATTCCGGTTCTTTTTGGTAGTTTTCCATTCCTCCTTGTATTGTATCATCTTACTCTAGGGAGAGGTGTGGTCTTCCACACTTTGTTCTCACAGTGAGAACTGCAGATACTTTTGTACTTGTTTTTTCATTTCTTTTTAGTGTTACGTATTTTTTTTGATATGCTATAGATGATTGTTGTGGGGTGAGGTGCTAACTTAGTTAGGATCTCTTCCCCATATTGTGATGTTTTAGCATATCTATCTTTTTTCAAAAAAATTATATGATAGATCCAAGATACTTGAACTATATGACTTATGATTAGGTGTGATCTTCAAATTTTACCTCCAAGTAAGTGCTGGGGGGCTTCTTGCTGAACATGCATTCTATACACTCCATTTACTTGTGCTTAAACAGAAGCTGTCATTCCGAAGCTTCTCTCTATGTCTGGCACATTGATGTGTGGAAATATTGCATGTGCATTTGTTTCTATTTCCATTTTTCCTTTGAGTTCAAATTTCATCTGATGAGAAGTATGGTTATAACATTCCTCTTATCTAAGCAAAGGAAACACAATGCCTTATGACAATTTGTTCACTATATTATTCTTTTATTTTCTTCCAGAGCTTTACAAGCCTTGCCTGTCAATGTTGATCCAATTCCTAAAGATATTAGAGAGCAATTTGGACTGCTAAGTCTTCATGATGTAAGGATCTCTAACTTTCAAAATTCTTTATTCTATTGATGAAATTTTTATGTGCTTACCTGTCATATGAAAATCTAAGTATTGACACCTACATGGCTGTATAGACATTTTATCTGCAATATACGTCTGTGGCTACTGCCTGCTGATGAATTGCAGAAGTGTTAATTTGAAATTTAGTGAAAACATAATTACAGAGAAAGAGGAAACTAATTATCTTCAAGAAACCAAGGATTGGAAAATAAAGGAAAGAAGTTCCCATGCTCTTAAAAAAAGTTGCGATGGCCAGTTATGCACTCTTTTTTTTATAAATATTTGATGTATTGGTCTTTTTACTTTCAATGTTGCTATGTTTATAATAGTTCCCTTCTCCCTTGTGTGTATTTGACTGTGTGGTGAATCAATGGGAAGTCTTCAACTTTCATTTTGGGGAGCAAATTTGTTTTGGTAAGTGTAAGTGCACAAACAAAGGGGAGGGGGTGGGTTGGACTTGGTGGTTGTCTTCATTTATGATATATCATGATTTTTAACAATTTAATTGTAATTTTAACATGCTATTTATTTTTTTCTGGGGATTTTACTTGGTATTTGTTTGGTGCATGGAATCGGGCTTGGGAATTAGAATTGGACTTGGGAGGTGTTTGTTTCAAGGTATCATATTACATTCTTAGGAATATTTTAACAGGAATTTATTCCTAGATATATTTAGAAAACATGTTTATTTACATTCTAATATTCATTGGAATATTTTTTAAAATTGAAAATAATTTAAATAAAAAATAACTAAAAAGGGAAGTTGACAAGTGTGGTAAAACATAACTTCCCTTATCCCATGGGAATATTCTTTTCCCACCCCCTCAACATGGGAGTAAAGTGAAGGAAACATGATATGATAACTATTGGAGTATACCTTTTATTTTGTTAGATCTATATAGCTTTGGTCAGGAGCTAACCTAACAGCTTCTGATAGAAGCTGTTAGCCCTATAAATACTGTCTTGTATCCTTTATACAAACAGGTTGAATACAATACAGAAATACACTCATTCATTCTAGCTTTCTCTCTCAACTTCAATAATAACCTTCCCTGGATTGATATACTTTGGAATAAATTTTTAAAACTTGTAACAAACATGGGGATATTACATTCCAATGCTTATTGCTTACATTCCTGGGATGAACTTTAATCCATGAAAGATGCACACTCTTAGGGATTGTAGTTCAGATGTTTTGAAAATCTACAATGCTCAACCTAGGACTTTGGAATTAGGCACTCTTGCCTCAACCTAGGAATGGCTTCTAACTTCCACAATGATTGTAGTTTAATATTGTTAATGATGCACTTTTATATCAATCTGTTTAAACTGTGCTTGTGAATCTAAGCTAAAATTCTCTAATACATGTGTTAAACTGTTTACTAGTTTTTGTGGTTTGTGCTGTGCTGTGCTGCATTAGGTTGGAGAACATCGAGGAATGCCAATATCTATGGCCTCTTTCCTTAAGAAATAAAATACTCTTCCATTCCTATTTTTCTGAAACTTAACTCCTCCTGTTTCTGCATAATTTTCACTGAAATTTCAAATTTTGGATTGTTAACAATATAGGCATATTTTGGAATCCACAAACCGAAGGACATAAATGAAGCTGATTTGGCTCGCAAGAGACTTATATTTGATGAGTTTTTTTACCTGCAGGTGAGGTTATCATTTTTATCAGATTTTATTTGTAGTATCATCTATTGGAAATTTTAAAAATTTTCTGAGAAATACGAGTACACTCTCTAACTCTTAAACATTATTATTTGCTGAAATTTATTTGGAATAACAATTGTGTAGGTCCCAGCCTTGTGTAATGAGCTCCATTCCTGATTTTGTAATTTCTAATAAATTTTAACTAACAGTAGAAAGTGTGTTGCTAACACCTCTCTATCATTTTTGCTACCATTATGAAGCCTATGGTTGATTACAAGATTTCAATATATATATATATATATATATATATATATAGAGAGAGAGAGAGAGAGAGAGAGAGAGAGATCCACTTATTCCAAGAGCAAGTCTACCTAGATTTACTCCATTTAATAACTCTTATTTTATATCAAATTTCAACTGTCCAACTGTTAAATTAAAGATTCTTAATGTACAGATCAAGTTTGTAAGGTTTTAAAAATTTTGAAAACTATTTGATACTCTATTCTATTGGTTCAAATTGACAGATAATCATAAAAATATTTTATACGTTGATTTGAATTAATGAAATGAAGTATAAAATAATTTTCAAATTTTTTCAAAATTTGCAAACTTGATCTATGCATTAGAAACCTTTAATTCAATGGTTGGTTGTTTAAATTTGATGTAGAATATGAGTTATTGAGTGAAGTAAGTCTAGGTATAGACTTACTTTTGGTGTAAGTGAATCCCCCCATATATATATAATATATATATGATGCAGTCATTTCTTTTAGTTAATATTTTGAAAGTTACACTTGAATAACCTGATATGAGAGGCTGGGTTGATTTGAATCGTTTGAGGAAATGACCCCTCAGCTTATAATATTGTAATTTCAATCAAATTAATTACAACATCCCTTAATATAGGGGATGAGAATAATATCATAATTTACTGCTCTTACTTGGTATCTGAGCGGGTTTGATCTTGCTTTGCTTGACTTGTCAATCCTAATAAGGAATAAATCAAATTAAATCTCTCCAAATAAAGTAAATAAATAAACACATTAAGCACATGATATACATGCTACAACATATTTTGGTTCCGGTAGCTCAGTCAGTTTTGCTCATTGTGTGGCTTTTAAATTCAGAATTGAAATTTGATATTACCTCTGGTCCTATATATAAGAAACATAGACCCACTTTCAAATGTATTATTTGCTAATTTTATTTTATATCTTTGTTTTATGAAGTCTATTAATGAGACATTAAGTTATTTTTCATGAAAGTGGGTGCATTCATTACACTACTAACAAAATAAGATGCACCAATTGGTTGAAAAAATTATCTCATGAATTACTAGTACTGTCGGTAAATGTAACTACCACCTATGCGATGTAATTCTATTGATATTTATGGAATAAAATTTAAATTAATGATATTATAAATTACAATTAATGAATTTAACTACTTCTATTGGTTTTGATGAATTGGATATTTGTGTTTTATATATAGGAACAAAGATTAGTATAAATTTAGATGAAGTTGACAACTTGACCTTACAATGCTTTTGAATTGTACTTGGCAATTTGTTTGCTGGGCATGTGCATTGTACACTAATTGTTTGACCTTTTAACCAGTGGTTGATTGCTCTCTATCATGTTTTCTTGTAATAATTTACCTCTCTCTTTATTATATGGTTCAATTATTTTCTTACTTCACCTCTACTGTCTTTTGTCAGTTAGGACGCTTATTCCAAATGCTTGAAAGTCTTGGTACACAGATAGAAAAGGATGGATTGCTAGATAAGTATAGAAGACCAGAAAATAATGCTGTGTGTACTGAAGAGTGGTCCTCTCTCACCAAGAAGGTTTTTGAGGTTCTTCCATATACACTTACTACTAGTCAGCTGCATGCTGTGTCAGAAATTATTTGGGATCTAAAAAGACCAGTTCCAATGAATCGGCTTCTTCAGGTTTTGTATTTTTCTTAACTTGGTGTTGCTTTACTCTCATCATATTTGTTAGATATAGTCTGACCACATGGGCTTAGGCCCACTACTTTGTATATAAACTATTGGAAAAAACCCAAGTCCCACATCGACTAGAGATTAGGCAATTGAATAGTATATAAGTGGAAAGCAACCCTCACCTTACAAGCCGGTTTTGTAGGGTTGAGTTAAACTTAATCCACTATTCTAACATAAACATATCTTTCATTTTGCAATACACAAGGAAATGCTTTATTCCATTTACCATTTCTCTCAACATGGTATCTAGAGCCTAATCCTTGACCTCCCGGTGGACCCATTGTTCATCAGTGCCTGCAAAACGTCTCATTCTGTTTTCCGGCAACCCACCTCGCTGTGTCTCTTTCCGACCGTTTTTCCTCTATTTTACGGCGTTCTTTCTTTGCTGCCGCCGCCGCCGTCAGCTTTCTTTTGACGAACCCAACGCCACCAGTCGCGAGCAAACGGAGGTCGCACGTGCCCACACGCACCGACTCCGTGCTTGCACGGTTTCTCTCTCCTCTCCGTCGGCCGCTGCGCGTGGCGGCGCGTTCGACCACTTTTTCGGCGGCGATCACCGGCGCCGGACTCGTCCCAACACCCTCTACCCCAATCTACAATTTGTTTCTTGATCGGACTTGGTTTGTCACGGGTCCCTTCCTTCTCGGGCCATTTTCTCTCTCTCGTGGTTGTTTCTCTCTCCTCTCCCAGCATATATGGCTTCTCCTACTACTGTTCGGCCTGACTCCTCTATTTTTACTAACTATGTCAATGTCCCACTTTCCATTGACAAGTTACTTAGATATTCAAATAAGCAGCAAAAAGCCCAGATCCACCGATCTGTCTATTTCTTTTATATTGAATGAAAAAGAGAAGGATTACAAGAAAAATAACTGAGTAGTCTAGAGGCCTAAGCCATCACATCAAGCTAGAGTGAAGTCAGGAAATACATTAAAATATTTAATAAACAGAAGAAACTTTCTACATAAGCTACTCTAACAAAGTTAAACGAAACCAATTATAACACTTGGGCTTCTGATATCAAGCTTTGGCTTAAGGGACAGGATTATGTTACTTACCTTACCCAGATAGTTACTTCCATTGATGAGAAAGATCGTCCTCGTTGGTCGAAAATTGATGCTCAAATTTGTTGTGTCCTTAAGTCGACCATGGCTTCTCATGGTATTTTGCATCAAACATCTTGTGCATATACCCCTCAACAAAATGGAGTGGCTGAGCGCAAAAATAGACACTTAATTGAGACCACTTGCACCTTCTTACTTCATGGTCACGTTTCTCAACCTTTTTGGGGTGATGCTGTTCTCACTGCATGGTATCTCATCAATCGCATGCCATCTTCTGTTCTCAACAATCAAATACATCACTCCATTTTGTTCCCCAATCAACCTCTCTACCCTTTAGCTCCTTGTGTCTTTGGATCTACTTGTTTCGTCCATAATCACAGTCCTGGTCTTGATAAACTTTCTGCTCGGTCTCACAAATGTGTCTTCTTAGGGTATCCTAGGTCTCAAAAAGGGTATAAATGTTTCTCACCCTCCCTTCATCGCTATTTAATTTCAGCTGATGTCACCTTTCTCGAGTCTTCTTTCTACTTTCCTTCTACTTCCTCTTCTTCTGCAGCTGTCCTTACCCCTTCACCCCCCACTTGTCTTTGATACTCCTCCTATGTCTGCTGTGCCACCCGACCCACCACCTCCGCCTCCCCTTCAAGTTTATAATCGTCGGCAACGCTCTCACCTTCCTACTGGGCCCCCTACCGACTCTACTCCGGTGCCACCACCTTCATCCCCTCTGGCCCAACCACTTGAGTTAGACCTCCCAATTGCCCTCCGAAAAGGTACTCGTTCTACTCGTAATCCTTCCCCTCATTATATTACCTTGAGTTATCACAGGTTATCCTCTTCCCATTATACTTGTCTTTCTTCTATTTCCTCTGTCTATTCCTAAAATTGTAGGTGATGTCTTAGTCCACCCTGGTTGGAGACAAGCCATGATTGATGAACTGTGTGCTCTTCAGAACAATGGTACTCGGGATCTTGTTTCCTTGCCTCCTGGGAAGTCTGTGGTTGGCTGTCGATGGATCTTTACAGTCAAGGTTGATCCAGATGGCACCATTGATCGCCTCAAAGCTCGTTTGGTCGCCAAAGGGTATACTCAGATTTTGGATTAGACTATGGTGACACTTTCTCCCCCGTTGCCAAGATGGCCTCTGTCAGATTATTCTTAGTCATGGCTGCTCTTCGCCGTTGGCCTCTATCAACTGGATGTTAAAAATGTCTTTCTTCATGGGGATTTGCTAGAGGAAATTTATATGGAGCAACTTCCTGGATTTGTTGCTCAGGGGGAGTCTTTCGGTTTGGTATGTCGTCTCCGCAAATCACTTTATGCCCTTAAGCAGTCTCCAAGGGCATGGTTTGGTCGATTTAGTACCGTAGTCCAACAATTTGGTATGACTCGAAGTGAAGCTGATCATTCTGTTTTTTATCGAAATTCCACTGTTAGGTGCATCTACTTGATAGTGTATGTTGATGATATTGTTCTTACTAGTAGTGACCATCATGGCATTTCTCAGATAAAACAACATCTTTGCCATCACTTTCAAACAAAAGACCTTGGTAAACTTAGATATTTATTGGGGATTGAGGTAGCACAATCTAAAAATGGAATTGTAATATCTCAAAGGAAGTATGCATTGGATATTTTAGAGGAAACTGGCCTAATGAGTCCCAAGCCCATTGATACACCTATGGATCCCAATGCTAAACTCCTACCAAGTTAAGGGGAGCCTTTCTCAAATCCTGAGAGGTACAGAAGATTGGTTGGGAAATTGAATTATCTCACGGTAACTCGTCCTGACATCTCCTTTGCAGTTAGTGTGGTGAGTCAATTTCTCAATTCTCCATGTGTAGGACATTGGAATGCAGTCATCCGCATTCTAAAAAATATCAAAGGTGCTCCAGGAAAAGGTTTATTATATGGCTACAACAATCATACTCGAGTTGTGGGGTACTCAGATGCAGATTGGGCAGGCTCTCCCTCTGACAGGAGATCCACGTCAGATTATTGTGTCTTTATTGGTGATAACTTGATTTCCTGGAAAAGTAAAAAGCAGAATGTAGTGGCAAGATCTAGTGCAGAAGCAGAATATCGTGCTATAGCCTCTGCTTCTTGTGAGCTTATTTGGCTCAAATAGTTGCTTAAAGAACTGAGATTTGGTGAAGTTAAACAGATGACTCTCATATGTGATAACCAAGCTGCCCTTCATATTGCCTCAAATCTAGTATTTCACGAGAGGACCAAACACATTGAAATAGATTGTCACTTCATTCGTGAGAAGATTTTATCTCGGGACATTACTACTCAGTTTGTTAACTCTACTAATCAGTTGGCAGATGTCTTCACCAAATCATTACGGGGTCCTAGGATTGATTATATTTGTAACAAGCTTGGTGCATATGATCTATATACACTAGCTTGAGGGGGAGTGTTTGATATAGTCTGACCACATGGGCTTAGGCCCACTACTTTGTATATAAACATATATTTCATTTTGCAATACACAAGGAAATGCTTTATTCCATTTGCCATTTCTCTCAACAATATTCATACAGTACTCCCCTCACTTGTTCCTTTTTGTTTCATGTACTTCCTATCACTATAAAAGCTAACTATAGAAATCAGGCATTATGAAACAAGCTCCTCAAGCATGCAAACGCCAATTCAATTTAACATTTTTCACCTACTTTCAAGGTGTGGAAACGTTGACCTCCAAGTCAAAACTCCAATCTTTCAAGATGATCTTCATGATTCAACTACAAACTGGTATTTTCAGATTAAAGAATATGAATAAGAAATTAGTAGAAGATTACAGTGAGATTGAATGATAAAAGGTTCTCCTAAGAAAGAAAATACAACAAAAGAGGGAAAAAGAAAATCAATGAATCATAGAAGCTCAATCCCCAAACATCTTTAGTTAGTGAAATCCCCCTTAAGGGACGACTTCTACACCAAGTAGAATCTAAGCATCTGCCTTACTAGGACATAAAGGGAGCATACTTTGATTTTTCTAGAATGGAAAGTCTATGTTTTTCTTTTGAACTAATGCATTATCTTTTTATTTCCATTTTGGCTCAGCTTTGATAAACTTAACAAATACTTACAAGAGAAAGAAAATAAATGAATTAAGGTAAAATGAATATGAATCAAACTTTTCTCACAAGTTAAAATCAACACATGATTCTCAACTCTTTTAGAAGTTCCTCATTTAACTTTTCCACAAGTTAAAATCAATTTATGTATAATTTCATTTTTACTCACGGGGGATGTTTGATTTATTTTACCCTCTTAATTCATTTTACTTTCTTTACCTATAAATGCTTGTTGATCAAATGAAAAAATTAAATTAAATGACAAGGAAGCTTGATTTGAGCTCATTTTGTGATCTTCTTCATTCTTTTCTTAAATCAGTGTACACACTAGAATTGTGGACTCTACATAGTCTTAGCTTATTTTCTTGTAAGTTTGACTTGATTCCTGGTTTGTTCTCTCCAATGTTTATTTTTCACTTGCTATTTTTTCATAAAAGGGTAGTATTCTGTCTAAAGCATTTTTTTTTATTGATGTGCTGTAGTCAATAGACAAGCAGCATGACATGTTCTCATCTGATGTTATCTTGTGACACTTTAGGGTGATGTTGGATGTGGAAAAACTGTTGTAGCTTTTCTTGCATGCATGGAGGTTATTGGCTCTGGCTATCAGGTTGGTCGCCTTTATATTTTGTTTACTTTTTGTTTGTCTTTATTACCTTGACTTCTCATTAGATTCATAAATGTATAGCATATGGTAATGGTGATAATAAAACTATCAACGAACCACTAGGAATTGACCACCCATCGTCCATTCAGACGGTTAAATTACTTTTATGATACAACGAACAACCACAAGACACTTCAATAACCTCAAATACTATTAACCACTTGTGAGGCATATGTAACTATTAGCGCCACAAGTACAGATTGATAATTTAATAAATCACATTCATTTGTTCTTAATAACTTGTGTGATAAAGTTAACCACCATTAAACATTTCAATAACCTCATGACACTATTTACTACATGTGAGACATACTTAACCATTAGTGTCCAAGGTTATCGATAACCATTAGTGTCCAAGGTTATCGATAATGGATAAAGGTCTATGGCTGTGAGCCAAAAATCCATTATAAACATATATTTAACCATAATTGCCACAAGCATAAACCAATAACTGGAAAGAATCACATTAATTTACTTTTAACCACTTGTGAGACAAAGTTAATTATATTTTTGCATGTGGTTAACCACATGTGATGGGTGGACACTGGGTGAATCCCCAGCGATATGAATATTTTTACTCTTTACATTAATATTAGGTTTTCGTGCCTCATGATTAGGCTGCTTTCATGGTTCCAACTGAGTTGCTTGCAATCCAACATTATGAACATTTGCTGAAGTTGCTCGAAAACATGGATGAGGTCACGTGCAAGCCAACTGTTGCTTTACTCACTGGTTCAACTCCACTAAAACAAACACGGATGATTCGTAAGGTATGCTTTATTAAATATTAAGGAATGTCCAAATGATGTGAATGCAGTTATTATTTTCTTGAACCTGCATGGTATTTTTATAATTTTATTTGTTATGGTATTGCAGGGTATCCAGACCGGAGAAATCTCCATGGTGATAGGAACCCACAGTTTGATAGCAGAAAGTGTGGAATTTTTAGCCTTACGTATTGCTGTGGTGGATGAGCAGCATCGCTTTGGTGTGATTCAAAGAGGAAGGTTTAACAGTAAGGTGGTTCACATCTTTTTCTTCAGGATTTAAATATGGTTATATTATGCATGGATAAATGCCCATATTATGATTGTGCCGCTAGATGTGACCTTTTGGACCAATTTTATAATATCTCATGCCATTTTACTGTATTTGTTGTTAGTTTTTTCTCCGGCCTTTATTAGTTATTCTGGTTCAGTCAGTTTACTGAACCTCTATGACATTCAGCTATAAGGAGGCGACTCCTCAATCCTCATTGTAATTCTCTTGAGTTCAGTTGTAGTAATTCAGTTATTTTTCAGTTAAGATTCAGTTAGGAGTTCTCTCTAAATCTGATTTTCAACATACAAAGTTCAATGTGATGTTTACATTGAACAAAGCAATTACAACAGATCATTCCATTCCCCCTGCATATCTAATATGGAGATTCCCTTACATGTATTAAGTATTGGTGTGGCTATATTTCAAAGAAGGATTATAGTAGCAATGTAGCATAATCTAATGGAATGACTACTTCTAGGTTTATGTACGTACATTATTTTGAAGCTTAATATGTGATATAAAAATGTTGGTTTTAGTATTAATAATTACCTAGAATTATTTGTGCAGTTAAGTACAATTATAGATTATTCACATAAGTAGAGTAATCCAAATGACAGAAGACCAACACTGTTAGAATATTTTGAATAAAGGTTATAGTTATACAGATACTTATTTGACACAACAAATAAAGGTAGAATTTAACATACCAAGTGGTCCCCAATTATTATATTTTTCTTAAAAGCAAGTAGATATTAAATTGAGTTAGTAGCTTCCTTTCCAGTGGGTGCTTCATAATGATATTTACCATGGTCTAAAATAACAAATTTTGTAGTCAGTTAAACAATGGAATAACTCTAAAAAAGCTGATTGATAATCAATTGTGAGGCTTCAAAAGAGATATTCAATTGAGTAGATTAGACAAGTTTAGGTAACTAATAACTATGGCAAATTTTATGTTATGTTTTGGTTGAAATTATGTCTAACTTGCCACTGCAAATTGCATCTTTCATATGGCTTATATTTTTTATTCCTGCAATATGCAAATAATGCCTTGATTGCTCTTTTCCCCTTTTCTATCTGAAATTTTTAATAATGTTGTTGTTGTGGTCTCCTAACTTTTCTCTTTTAGTTATACTGTGCATCTTCAAATTCAAACATGGAGGATGCCATTACAGATGATTCTGCAAAGAGTGATGCTTATATGGCTCCACATGTTCTTGCCATGTCTGCTACTCCTATCCCAAGAACACTTGCACTTGCTTTATATGGTGACATGTCATTGACACAGGTACTTAACTTATCCTGTCCCATTATTTTAATGCTAAATATCTTTTGACTCACTCCCTCTAGATGTGTCCTTTTGTCTTAAATATGTCTGAATTTCAATGTGTCTAATTGTGAATTGATTTGTGATTTGCTTGGGAGAAAAATTCTCAACCTTCTAATTTATATTTTACATCAGCATATAGTTAAAGGGGGTCACAACTATTGTGTGAAACTGAGAATAAAAAATTGGGTCAAAGTCAATTTTCCCTATAATCATTAATCATTGGAGTAGGACTGAACCAAGGGTCAGCTTTGAGTCCTTTTCTTTTTACCTTGCTCTTGGTCGGACATGCTCACTGAGAAAATCCAAGAGTTTGTGTTACAATGCATGCTTTTTTTTTTTAGTTGACTTAGTTTTAGTTGGAGAATAGAGGAGTGTGTTTGGCTCATCTCTTTTTGAGCTTATTTTCTCCATAAAAGGAGAAGTTGAGCCAAACACTTTCATGAAGATATCTTAAAAAGATAAGCAAAATATTTTCACAGAACAGAATTTGAAAATAAGTGGCTTATAATTAAGTTGATAGGGGGATTTAAATTTTTTTTTTTTATTACATTGCAGTCCCCTGTTTGAATCCCAGCGTGACCAAAAATATAATCTTTTTAATTTTCCACTGTTTTTCCAATTTGAGTGTTTCATGGGCTTTCACACAGTCCCCTCTTCAATTTTCAATGTGATTAAAAATACCATTTCTTTTTAATTTTTCACTGATTTCCCAATTTTATTTGGTAGAGATAGGAAAGATTACAAAGATGGTAGTAATAAGGATCGCACTTAGGTCCCCATGCTTCTATTATTCCAACCCCTTTCCTCCAACCATTAGGTTAAACCTAGTAGTTACTCATTTCCCAATTTGAATGCATCACTAGCTTTTTCATTAAATAATACTTACATATATTAATTTATTGTAAAGTTTTTAATTTTTTAAAACTATTTATTTATAAATTTTTTTTTATATTTTTTATTTTCTTTACTTGAAATAGAAAAACATTACTGAAATGACTAAATAATATAATTCAAAAAATTTTATTTAAATTTAATTTAGATTTCAGTTTTTTAAAATTTTTAATTTGTAGCTAACTTTTTCATTTTTAATTCCAAATATATATATATATATATTATATTAAATAATTTTTGGGTTATTTTTTGAATGTTATTTAACATATATTGAAATTATTGAATTTTGTTTAAATAATGTTTTTATCTTATGAAAAATATTAGGGAATAATAATATAGCTTTTGTATATATTTTATATTTTGTAATTAGTACTTAAATTTATTTTATTTATAATATATAATAAAATATTTGTGAATGATCTCTAAAATTAATGTTTAATAATTAAAATAATGTTTGACAAGATTTTAATACTTCTATATATTTCTATTATCACTAAAATAAATTTATATTGATTAAAATAATGTTATATAATTGTAATCCAAATTTAATTTTACACAATTTTTTCATTATATCAACATATTATTAGTCTAATACTATTGACTGAGACAAGGTTGTCAATCTCGAGAGTTTACGTAATCTCGTAGAGGCTCCATAAACTCGTATCGTAAACTCGTAAGACATTACTCAATAAAAAAAAATTATAAAATAATTAAAAATAACATAATAATTGAACATTTTAACTCCATATTAAAGAGTAAAATAGCAAATTACATTAATAATAAAATGCTAAAGTTCACACAAATGACAAAACACAAGTTCTTAAAAGTAGACAAATAAAAAACTAAGACATCACATGACTAATATCTTCAAATCTCCATGTCTAATCCTCTAATAATATCATCTCCAACTCCAAGGTCTTCATCATCATTTCCATCATCACCATCAACATTTTCCTTGGATGAATGCTCACTAAGATCATCATCGAAAACCAATTTGTCAAGATGAAATGCATCCAAAGTTGGATTACTTGAGCTTGAACCTCCACCATCCAATTGCACATTAACACCATCACCTCCACCTCCTCCTTCACCTTCACCTTAAGGTTGCTCGACAGCAACATTCTCTTCACCAACATTGTCTTTTTCTTCAACTATCCATTCATCATCTAATTGAATATCATCAAATGGAAGAGTAATTGTTTTCCTTATTACTTTACTTTTTAACTTCAAGTTGTACATGACATACACCAAGTCATTCATTTTTTTTTTTGATGCAAGCAGTTTCTCCTTTTTGTATGAACCTAGAAAATTGAAAACCATAAAAAGGTCATGAACTTCAATTACCATTTCAAATGAGCTCCAATTACGCTCACATCCAGAAGAACTACAAGTCAAGCTTAAAACACGAATGACAAACCTTTTCAATTATTGATAATGATCCCTGAACATCTCCCACCATTCTGCAGGAAGCATTGCCTTCCTACATTCCTTTGCATCATCCAGGCCAAAAAGCCCTCTAGCATGATGAAACTTAAGAAACTGCATCTTAATTTTTGTTCTTGTTGTAGGATCCTTTACCAATCTTTTCATACAATCTAACAACCCATGCTTCACCTCATGATCATCATTTCTAAAATTAGCTTCATAATGTAATTGAGGATTAAGATAATATCCAGTTGCATGCAAAGGCCTATGAAGTTGACTATCCCACCTCTTATCAATAATTTCCCATATAGGTTCATAGCTACACAAATACCAAATGTAGTATATTAGAAATAAATCAAATAACTACACACAAATAACATAATTAAATTTTAAATGAAACAAACTTTAGAAATCTTACCTTTTTTTTTTATATTATTAAAGTTGCTCCGAATCCTTTCTTTTGCACAATCCACCTCCTCATATATAAAACCCATGGCAGGTTTTATATCAGAATCCACCAATTGAAGGACTACCATAAAAGGGGCTGCAACTTTGAGGCAAATGGTTACGTTCTTCCAATATCGACTATCTAAAATTATATTTTCAATTTTTCTTCCCTCTTGTGAAGTTCCAAACTTACTTTCCTTCCACTCTTTAGAGCTAAACATGGTCATCAATGATGGTTTCATTTCATGGAGACAAGACAAAGTCAAATAAGCTGTTGCAAATCTAGTCATACCAGGCCTAATCAAATCTCTTCCTTTTGTAAACTTTTTTAGCATGCTAATGAGCATGCTTCTACCATATATGTATGTAGTGATCCTCCTCCCCTTCTTTACAGTAGTTTGATGAACCTTCAGGTGTTTCTCAAAATCCTCAAATATTAAATCAATGCAATGGGCAGCACATGGGGTCCAATACAAGTTTTGTCGAGTTTGCATCAACAATTCTCCTGCTGCCTTGTAATTTGCAGCATTATCAGTAACCACTTGCACTACATTCTCTTCTCCAACATATGCCACTACGTCATCCAACATCTTAAAAACTTTGTCAGTAGTTTTTGAGATATTAGAAGTATCCAATGAATATAAAAATACAGTACCTTTTGGATTATTCACAAAAAAATTACAAAGAGATCGCCTTTTTCTATCTGTCCACCCATCAGACATAATTGAGCAACTGGTTCTCTTCCACTCCTTACATTCTTCAAGTAATAAATCGGTATTCTGTACTGCTTGTTTCAAGAGCTTCTCTCTAATATCATATGGTAGGATGGAGGTTTATAACCAATTCCATATTTTCCAATCATCTCAAATTTTTGCAAATGCTGGATTTTTAATAACATTGAATGGAATGACACTTGTCTAAAAAAAATTTAGCAACTTGAGCATCAACTTCTTCTTTATATCCCTTTTTCATCATTTGATTTGTAGTTGCTTGAACTCCTCCTCCACTACCAGTAAGAACTTTTCCTTTTCCTTTGGACCACAACATCCTTTGATTATTTGTCTCAAAGGCCACCCCTTGACTTTGTTGTTCCCCAACTTCTTCATCAATACTATTCAATCTTCTTTTCTTCAATGATGCCTCTTTAGCCCCCACAATAATTTTTATCATAAGTAACTTAATTTCTTCAGGCACTAAGGCACAAGGCTTTGAATCTTCTCTAGTCCTTGCAAGATGATGCTTGAATCTAGTAATTCCTCCACTCACAATCTTTGAGCAATAATTACATTTCACTTTTCTTGCATTGCCCTGAACATCTATCCCATGCCGCCACCCAATATCTCACCTGTTTCCTTGGAACATTTCTATTTCTAGCAATAGAGGAGGCTGCTCCTGATCCACTATCAATAAAATTTGACCCAGTCCCAGACATGATTATAGTAGAAAACTAGAAATCACTATAGACAGAATCAGAAACGATAGTTGAAGTCGCAATCAGAAGCAAGTTAACAATAAATCACAAAAAAAATAAAAAATAAAAACCCTAACCGAAGTCGTGGAGAAGCAGAGTCGCAGAGAAGCAAAGTCGCAGAGAAGCAGACTCGCGAAGAAGCAGACTCGTGGAGAAGCAGACTCGCGAAGCCGTGCGACTCGCGGAGGAGAAGATAGGCTCGCGGAGGAGAATGGTGGTTCGTGCACCTTCTAATGCTTGAGGGCCCTAACTCTTCTCAATTAATAGGATACCTCTATCTCTAGCCTTCATCCTAATTATAGGCAATATGCCTTGTTTCTTATTATCTAGTCCTCCTATTAGGAAAAATGTAAGTCCCAAGTCGACTAGAGATTAGACTAACAAATAGTATATAAGTGGAGAACAATTCTTACCTTACAAGCCAGTCTTGTAAGGTTGAGTTAAACCTAATTCCATTTTCCAAGATGGTATAATAGCTATTTTAGAAATATTAAAAAGGGCCACCCACCATAGAGGGTGTATTCTTTCGAATGCTTTCATCTCCTCATTTTTGGCTTGAACCTAGTTCTCATCTTTCAGTGCTTCTTGAATTGATGTGGGTTTTTTGATTGCATCAATAATTGCAATAAAACTTTGATGTTGAACAGAGATATGATTAGTGCATACAAACTGGGAGATTGGATACTTGGCAAATTGTCATTACCTTTTTCAGTCTCAATATTAT